ACAACCAGAAACGCTAACACAACACAACACTAACCTGTTAACATAACCCCCTAACTTCTTTAACTAGCCCTGTTGAGCACTAGCTTCAATACAACGCCCCAACACAACAGCACTTTAGCCACAACCGGTACTGGCCTGGCAGGCACTGGCCTGGCCTGCTTTTCCAGCCAGGCGCTATTGCAACACCAACTGGCACAACGCTGACTGAGCACCAGCACAACCCTAACACTAACCTAACCCTATCACTAACCAACCAATGCTAACCCACAACCTGTAACTTTCAGCCTTTCAGCACAACGCCTGGCCTGTTCAGCGCTGGCCTGGCCTGGCCAGAGCATAGCCTGACTTCAACACCAGCAACCCCAACGCTGGCCTGGCCACAACCAAACACCCCAACCTAACTAACACTTCTTCTAACTAACACTAACCTAACCTAACCTAACCAAGCTACTAACCTAACTTCTTAAATTAATGTTATAGCAAATGCACTCTTCAGTTAATATGACTGTTGATTGGTCGACCACTGAGATGTAGACGTCATGGAGAAATAGAAAGTTGCCATTGGTTGAATTAAATATCCTGAGTACACGTTGCTTTATTGCTTCATGTGGTAGTAGTTGTGGTAAAGGGAGTAGTTGATGTGAGTATTAGTTGTGGTAAGGGGTGGTTGATAATAATTGATAGTTGGCAGCTGAGGGGTGGTGATAATAGTGTGGTTATGTGGGGTAGTTGATAGTAGGGTGGTTGATGTGAGTGAATTGATGTGGTAGGGGTGGCCAGACCCAATAGTGAGGTGGTAGTTAATAATCAGGGTAGTTGATGTGAGTAATGGTTGTGGTAGGGGTGGTTGATAATAATGAGGGTGGTCGATGTGGTGGGGAATGGTGTGAAGTTAAATTGGAATTAAATCGAAATCAATCAGTTGATTGGAAGTTATCAGTATTTTCGATTACCGTCAAGTTATCGATTATTTTTGTGTATCTTTTTGGAACATAAAAGTGAATAGGCCAAATCAAATAGGCCTATCAAAATTTCGTAGGCCTATCAAATTTAAACAGGCCTCAAATTTCATCAGGCCTCAAAAATTTCGTAGGCCTCTTAAATTTTCATCAGGCCCTGGGCACTGTACTCACTCTGCCCCTTGATAATCCGGCCTGGTGGTAGTTGTGGTAATTAAAAATTATTAGTGGTAAATCAATTTGTTGTTGTGGTAATTAGTTATTTAATGGCGAGTGATGGTTGTTGTAAATGATGGTAGCAGTGGTAATGTGGTTTAAGTAGTAATGGTAGTGGTGGTTGTTGTAATAGTGGTGGTGGTTGTTTAGCATAATAGTGATGGCAGTGATAATGATGGTGGCAGTGGTAATTAGTAGTAGTGGTGGCGGTAAACGTAGTGGTTGCAGTAATGTAATAATGGTAGTGGTAGCAGTGGTAATATTATTAATGGTAGCAGTAGTAATGATGGTAGCAGTATTAATAGTAGTGGTGGCAGTAATCAGTAATAGTAGTGGCGGTGGTAGTGGTATGTGTGGCAGTAATTTGTAGTAATGGTAGTGGCAGTAGTAGTAGTAGTAGTGGTGACAGCGTGGTAGTAATAGTGGTGGCAGTGGTAGTAGTAGTAGTGGTGACAGTGGTCAGTAGTAGTAGTGGTGGTGGCAGTGGTAGTAGTAGTGGTGGCAGTGGTAGTAGTGGTGGCAGTGGTAGTAGTAGTAGTGGTGACAGTGGTAGTAGTAGTGGTGACAGTGGTAGTAGTAATTGGTGGCGGTGTTGGTGGTGGTGACAGTGGTAGTGGTGTTGGTGACGGTGGTAGTGGTGGTGGTGACGGTGGTAGTGGTAGTGATGGTGTGATGGTGGTAGTGGTGGTGAGGCGGTGGTGATGGTGGTGGTGACAGTGGTTGGTAGTGATGGTGGTGGTGGCAGTGGTGGTGGTGGTGGTTGGCGGTGGTGGTAGTGATGGTGGTGACAGTTGGTAGTAGTGGTAATTAATTGGTTGGCGGTGTGGTGGTGGTGGTAATTGGTGGCGGTGTTAATTAATGGTGTTGGCAGTGGTAGTAGTAGTAGTGGTGACAGTGGTAGTAGTAATTGGTAGTAGTGTTGATAATGGTGGTAGTGGTTATTGATGGCAGTGGTAGTAGTAGTGGTGGTGGTGGTGGTAATGATGGTGGCAGTGTGTTAATGGTGAGTGAGTGGTAGTAGTAGTGGTGGTGGCAGATGGTAGTAGTGGTGGTATGAAGTTAAGTGGTGGTGGTAAGGTGGCAGTAGTAGTGGTGGCAGTGGAGTAGCAGTGGTGGTAGTAATGGTTGTTGCTGTAAGTATTAATTAGTGGCAGTGGTAGTAGTAGTAAAGATCAGCTGTGGTTGTTAAGTGGCAGTAGCAGTAGTGGTGGCAGAGTAGTAGTAGTGGTTGTTATAGCCTTATATATACCACCAGACCACACACACCACTTCCCTCTTAACACCAAGCACCCGGAACGTCGTTCGCGCCATTACTTGTGTTCACGCCATATGCCAATTACTACCTGCCACTTCACGCCACTGTCTCCACTCCATGCCACTAACCTCAGTCTTGTTTATGTTGGTGCCCACTGTCCCTTAGAGTGCCACTGGCTGATTTGGGCTGTCATGTCTGTCCGTCTGTCTGTGTCTGCCTGTGTCTGGCTGTCTGAATGTCCGTCTGGCTGACTGTCTGTCATTTGTCTCTATCTGTCTGTTTGTTTGCTTTGTCTCTTGTCTGTCTGAATATCTCTGTATCTAGCTGACTGTCTGTGTTTATCTGTTTGTCTCTCTGTCTGTCTGTCTGTCTCGTCAGCTCCAAGTCTCTGATCAAACTTCTGACGCCATTTTGTGTGTCCTTGGTCATAGCATGGATGTCCTCTGACGTCCGGCTGGCCAGGAAGTGACGTCACGTGATTAACTAGAAAAGTGATTGTTGAATTGTTCTCTCCTCTCTCTCTCTCTGTCCCCCTTTACTAGGTCAACCTTTCTACCCTTTTCCTCACCTTCCACCTTCCTCTTCCCCCCCCCTTCCACCATTCCCTTCTCACCCTTACCCCTTCCTCACCCCTTCCACCTTCCTCACCCCTTTCACCTTCCTCCCCACCTTCTCTTTCCACCCTTCCTCACCTTCCACCTTCCTCACCCCTTCCTCCTTCCTCACCCCTTCCACCCCCCTTCACCATCCCCATACTCATCAAACCACACCCCTCCACCCTCAATTCACCTTATTTAAAACTACAGAGATTATTTTTTATAATTTTTAGGTGAAAAATTATAAACTTTGCTATTTTTGTATGAAGGTTGAAAATTATATAAACTTCCTATTTTTAGTGGATTATTAATAAATATTAACTATATTGTATTAAATGGAATGTATCTGTAAAACTGTTACATAAAGAAAAAATAAATAAATCCGTTTACATAAAGAGAATATAGAGTAATTAAAATCGTGTTGCATAAAAGAGAACAAATTTAAACACGTTACATAAAAGAGAAAATTAAAAAATACATTCGTGTTACATAAAAGAGAAACTAATTAAATTCGTGTTACATAAAAGAGAAAATTAAAAAATACACTCGTGTTACATAAAAGAGAACAAACTAATTAAATTCGTGTTACATAAAAGAGAAAATTTAAAAAAAACACCCGTGTTACATAAAAGAGAAACTAATTAAATTCGTGTTACATAAAAGAGAAAATGAAAAAATACACTCGTGTTACATAAAAGAGAACAAACTAATTAAATTCGTGTTACATAAAAGAGAAACTAATTAAATTCGTGTTACATAAAATAGAAAAAATAAACAAATCCGTGTTACATAGATAAGTTAGTTGAGTGAATGGGCGTATGAGAGTTGAGATAATTAATTAGGCCAGGTGAGGGTGACCACCTGGGCGTAGTTCCCGTGAGACACTAACGCACACCAGTCTGGGGGGGAGGATTTAAGGACAAATGGGAGGCATACATGGTTGTGGTAGTGGTGGTAGTTGTTGTAGTAGTAGTGGTAATTGTGGTTGTTGTAGTTGTGGTAGTAGTAGTAGTAGTGGTGGTAGTTGTTGTAGTAGTAGTGGTAATTGTGGTTGTTGTAGTTGTGGTAGTAGTAGTAGTAGTAGTAGTGGTGGTAGTTGTTGTAGTGGTAATTGTAGTTGTTGTAGTTGTGGTAGTAGTAGTAGTAGTGGTTGTAATGGTTGTAGTTGTTGTAGTTCTGGTGGTTGTGGTAGTAGTGGTAGTTCTGGTGGTTGTGGTAGTAGTGGTAGTTATGGTAGTAGTGGTGGTAGTTGTTGTTGTAGTAGTGGTAATTGTAGTTGTTGTAGTTGTGGTAGTAGTAGTAGTAGTAATGGTTGTAGTTGTGGTGGTTGTGGTTGTAGTAGTAGTTGTAGTAATGGTTGTGGTTGTTGTAGTTGTGGTGGTTGTGGTTGTAGTAGTGGTCAGATCAGATTCTCCCTTGACTAAACATAGTTCTAATCTTATTTCAGCCATATATGTCTATAAAGGCTTAAAGACATCATTCTAACCTTATTTTTAACCTTATTTCAGCCATAAATAATTCAAGACAAATTTTTAACCATATTTCAGCCATAAATGTCTACAAAAACCATGAAACATTATTTTAAACTATTTTTTCAGAGTTAAAACTGCATATTTATCCAACGGTTTATTTAACGATGTTTTATTATGGTTTATGTGATGTTAAATTGGGTTTATCGTGGTTTAAGGATATTAATCTGGTTTTATCGTGGTTTATGGATATTAATCTGGTTTTATCGTGGTTTATGGATATTAATCTGGTTTTATTATGGTTTAAAGGACATTATTCTGTTTTTTTTCTCATGGTTTAAGGCAGTCTTTTTTTCTCATGGTTTAAGGTACATCAACAGGTTTTTTCCCCCCGTGGTTTAAGGTACACCAACAGGTTTTTTTCCCCCATGGTTTAAGGTACATCAACAGGTTTTTTCCCCTGGTTTAAGGTACAAAACAATAACACCCATTCTTTCCATTACAGAGTTGCGGTCACAGCTTAACGAACAACTGCGGGCTCTAGATGGCAGAGTCGACACACAGACAGCCTTAGTGAATGAACTACAGGACTGGTTTAGGCGCCGAGCTGAACTCCATCAAGATTATGCGACTAAACTGGACAAGTTAGCGAAGAGTCTGCAAGCTAGACACAAGGAACAACGAATTAAGTAAGTGGTTTGGTGCTTGTAAAATACACCCGTACTCATAAAATACACCCATGGTCGTAAAATACACCCCTTTTGCTCGTAAAATACACCGTTATTGCTCGTAAAATACACCCTTATTGCTCGTAAAATACACCCTTATTGCTCGTAAAATACACCCTTATTGCTCGTAAAATACACCCCTTATTGCTCGTAAAATACGCATATTATAAATAAAATACACCCCTTATTTAACAAGTAAATACACCCTTGTTAACAAGTAAATACACCCATATTATAAATAAAATACACCCATATTACTCAATAAAATACACCCATTTCCTGTAAATACACCCAATTTCTCGTAAATACTTAATTTCCTCGTAAAATACACCCAATTTCCTCGTAAAATACACCCAATTTCCTCAAGTAAAAATACACCCAATTTCATAATAAAAATACACCCAATTTCCTCGTAAAATACTTGCAATTTCCTGCGTAAAATACACCCAATTTCCTCTTAAATACACCTTAATTTACTGTAAAATGCACCCCACAAACATCAAGGGACTCTGTAAACACAAACATCAAGGGGACTCTGTGAACACAAACATCAAGGGACTCTGTGAATAATTACCATACACTCTGACACATATATATAAACACAAGTGAGCATTCAACTTCAATTTAAGAATGACTTTGATATTTAGTTAAGGTTAAAATGTGTCTTAATTACACTACAGCTTGTGAACTCTTGAGGGCAATAATTTAAGTGTGAATCTGTTGTGGAAGGGTTGTGAATTGGTTGTGAAGCTTGTGTAAGGGTTGTAACTATTGGGAAGATTATATTAGTGTTGTGAATTGATTGTGGTTGTTGTGAATAGGTTGTGGGTGAGTTGTGTAAGAGTTTGGATGGGTTGTGAAAGGGTTGTGAAGGTCATAGTTGGATTGTGTAAGGGTTGTGACCGAGTTGTGATGTATGGAAGGTTATATAAGAGTTGTGAAAGTTGTATTAGTATTATTTAAGAGTTGTGATTGGGTTGTAACTGTAGTGAAGATTATATTCGTCTTATAAAGCAGTTTTTAATGGGTTGTAGAAAGAGGTTGTTACAGTGTTGTAGATATATAGTTATAGGTGACATTGGGTTGTGTTTTTAAAGTTAATGTAAGTTTGTGAGTGTTGTAGGTAATATTGATGATAGTGTTGTAATCTGGGTCGGTTGTAGGTAATAATCAGTAGAGGTTGTAGGTGTAATACAAAAAAAATACTGAAATACTGAGAAAATACTACGAAAAATACTCAAAATACTACGAAAATTACTCATAATACTCAAAATACTGCGAAAAATACTCAAAATCATGAATGCTCAAAACTCTACGAAAAATACTCAGAATACTCAAAATACTGCGAAAAATACTCAAAATACTACGAAAAATACTCAGAATACTCATAATACTGCGAAAAATACTCAAAATACTACGAAAAATACTCAGAATACTCAAAATACTGCGAAAAATACTCAAAATACCACGAAAAATACTCAGAATACTCATAATACTGCGAAAAATACTCAAAATACTACGAAAAATACTCAGAATACTCAAAATACTGCAAAAATACTCAAAATACTGCAAAAAATACTCAGAATACTCAAAATACTGCGAAAAAATGCTCAAATACTATGAAAATACTCAAAATACTGCGAAAAATACTCAGAAAACTCAAAATACTGCGAAAAATACTCAAAATACTACGAAAAATACGCAGAATACTCAAAATACTGCGAAAAATACTCAAAATACTGAAATAATACTCATAATAATCTAAAATACTGACGTTATCACTGTCTTCCTGTGGGTAAATTCTGTGATCTAATTCTTAAAGGGTAACTGCTGGGGTGGATGTACAAAGGGTATTTAATGCTGAATAAATTCTTTTGTATTGTTGGCTAATTCTGAGGTGACCTTGACCTCTTAATTAAGGTCAAAGGTCATCATAAAGGTGTGGTTGGGTGTAAGAAATTGGTTGTTAGCATTGTAGGTATACAGTCCACCATGTATACTAAACACAGGTATACAGTCCACCATGTATACTAACAAAACACATTATTTTGACTATCACTTCACACCTTTCATTATTTACAAATCGACAAGAACCGCATCCCAGCTGCACCTCACACATCCCGATAACAGCTACACCTCACACATCCCGATAACAGCTGCACCTCACACATCCCAATAACAGCTGCACCTCACACATCCCGATAACAGCTGCACCTCACACATCCCGATAACAGCTACACCTCACAAATCCCGATAACAGCTGCACCTCACACATCCCGATAACAGCTGCACCTCACACATCCCGATAACAGCTACCTCACATCCCGATAACAGCTGCACCTCACACATCCCGATAACAGCTACCCTCCACACATCCGACAGCACTTCGCCTCCACATCTCTTCTTACAGACGAGGCAGCTGCACCTGTTCAGTGTCTACAGCTGCTGGAACTAGATTAGTGAACCAGACTGTTAAAGATGCCAGGGACCAATATGCTATGGCTGACGTCTATCTCAATAATGTCATTCCTAGATTTACACAAGTGCAAGATGATGTCAGAGGATTTCAAAAGGGGTAGAGGGACGTATGGTTATATTGGGATTAATTTGGATGTTTTTGGTCATATTGGGATTAATTTTGGTGTTTTTATATTGGGATTAATTTTGGTGTTTTTTGGTCATATTGGGATTAATTTTGGTGTTTTTTTGTCATTTTGGGATTAATTTGGTGTTTTTTTTGGTCATATTGGGATTAATTTGGTGTTTTTGAGGTTATATTAGGATTAATATTTTTTAGTTATTTTGTAATAAATTTGCTGTTTCTAATCTAACAGACCCTTGATATAATGGGCCCTGATATACTGGACCTTGATATAATGGGCCATGATATACTGACCCTTAGATATAATGGGCCCTTGATATACTGGACCCTTGATAATGGGCCCATGATATATGAGACCCTGATATAATGGGCCCTGGATATACTGGACCCTGATATAATGGACTTCATCTCCAAATACTTGTTATATGGAGGTTTCACATCTAACGAAACCCTCGATATAACGAACATTCCTTTCCAAATACTCTCGTTATATGGCGGTTTCACATCTAACGGAACCCCAATAACGAACATTCAAATAACCCATTAAATATAGGTCATGATAAGCCTAGACCCCAGTACTCTGAATCTAACGTCCGAAACACCCAGTGTCGAGAGATTGTTTACGAGAGCCACGAAGAACTGCTCAAGGTTTTACATGAGCCATACAACCATGAGAACATATCATACTTATCAAACTGAGTTCAAGAATGCGAGACTAAGCTCGCGGAATTTCGAAGCCCAGAGGAGTAAGCTTGAGCAGGCTATCCCTAAGGAGAAGCTGAAAAGAGCAAGAAGTTTCGAGTCATTGAGAAGGAGATTCAGAAGGTAAGAATTTAAGCTGGGGTTTGATCTGGGATTTGGATTCTAGCTGGGGTTAAAATTTAAGCTAGGGTTTGGATTTATGCCGAGGTTAAGGTTAAGCTGGAGAAGAGTAGGGAAGTAAGACTAAGCTGAGGGTAGAATAAGCTGTGAGGTATACAAGTAAGGGGTATACAGTGTACCTAGACAGCGTAGGTATACAGTGTACCTAGATGTAGTATACAGTGTAACAGATAGTGTAGGTATACAGTGTACCAGACAGTGTAGGTATACAGTGTGTACCCAGACAGTGTAGGTATACAGTGTACCTAGAAGCGGTGGCATGTGTGCCTAGACAGTGTAGGTATAGTGTGCCCAGACAGTGTGGGTATACAGTGTGACCTAGACAGTGTGGGTATACAGGTGACAGACAGTGTATAGTGTACCTAGACAGTGTGTATACAGTGTACCCAGACAGTGTAGGTATATAGTACCCAGACAGTGTAGGTATACAGTGTACCTAGACAGTGTGTGGTATACAGTGTACCCAGACAGTGTAGGTATACAGTGTGCCCAGACAGCGTGGGCATATAGTGTGCCCAGACAGTGTGGGTATACAGTGTACCTAGACAGTGTAGGTATACAGTGTACCCATGACAGTGTAGGTATACAGTGTACCCAGACAGCGTGGTATACAGTGTGTACCTAGACAGTGTGGGTATACAGTGTCCAGACAGTGTAGGTATACATGTACAGACACAGCGTAGGTATACAGTGTACCCAGACAGTGTAGGTATACAGTGCCCAGACAGTGTAGGTATACAGTGTGCCTAGACAGTGTGGGTATACAGTGTACCAGACAGTGTAGGTATACAGTGTGCCCAGACAGTGTAGGCATACAGTGTGCCTAGACAGTGTAGGTATACAGGTACCTGAGCAGTGTGGGTATGCAGTGTACCCAGACAGTGTGGTATAGAGTGTCCAGACAGTGTGGTATACAGTGTGCCTAGACAGTGTGGGTATGCAGTGTGACCAGACATGTGGTATACAGGCATACAGTGTGGGTATACAGTGCCTGGATGTGGTATACAGTGTACCTAGACAGTGTAGGTATACAGTGTGACTAGACAGTATACAGTGTGCCTCAGACATGAGGGGTATACAGTGTGCCTAGACAGTAGGTATAAGAGTGTGCCCAGACAGTGTGGGTATACAGTACCTAGACAGTGTAGGTATACAGTCCTGACAGTGTGGGTATACAGTGTACCTAGACAGTGCAGGTATACAGTACCTAGACAGTGTAGGCAGTCTAGACAGTGGTACAGTGTACCTAGACAGTGCAGGTATATACAGTGTACCTAGACAGCGTAGGGCATGCAATATTTAGACAGTGTGTAGGTATACAGTGTACTAGACAGTGTGGGTATACAGTGTGCCTAGACAGTGTGGGTATAAACAACATACATACACAGTGAGGTATACAAACAACATGCGTACACAGTGAAAGTATACAAACAATACGTACACAGTGAAAGTATACAAACAACATACATACACAGTGTGGGTATACAAACAACATACGTGCACATGAAAGTATACAAACAACATACGTACACAGTGAAAGTATCTGAAGAAAATAAATTAAAATTCCTGCAAGTAAATACCAACAAACGACATATTGCAGCAAAACAAAAACACATTAATAACAATATGGCATTTAAAAATATAGAGTCATTTTTAAAGGCAATATGTCATTTAAGTTTATAATAGGTGTGGTAATTATGGGTTAATGGTGTGTTATAAGATGCCAGAATACAGTAGGTGTATTTTGTAATGTGAAATAATACAGTAGTTGTATTAACAAACCACTAATACAACATTTCAATACAGTAGTTGTATTAATAAATCACAATACAATCAATTTATTTATTGATTTCTGATCCACTTACACTAGACAGCGGGCAACAAGTACATGGATGCCAAACTCAAGGCACTCAAGGCCAGGAATGAGTACATCCTGTCAATGGACTCGGCCAACGCTGCTATCCACAAGAATTCCGTTGAGGATCTGTCGGATATTGTGGATGTGAGTACTAGTGGATGGTTCTTGTTGTGTGGGGTAGTGTGGGTGGTGGTTGTGTGTGGGGGTAGTGTGGGTGGTGGTTGTGTGTGTGGGGTAGTGTGGGTGGTGGTTGTGTGTGTGGGGTAGTGTGGGTGGTGGTTGTGTGTGGGTAGTGTGTGGGGGAGGGTTGTGTGGGTGTTTGTGTGAAATTGCTGTTGTTTGTGGGAGAATTGTTGTTGTTTGTGGGAGGAAATGTTGTTGTTGTGGGAGATTGTTGTTGTTTGTGTGAGGTGTTGTTGTTTGTGTGAGAATTGTTGTTGTTTGTGTGAGAATTGTTGTTGTTTGTGTGAAATTATTTGTTGTTGTGTGAGAATTGTTGTTGTTTGTGTGAAATTGTTGTTGTTTGTGTGAAATTATTTGTTTGTTTATGTGAAAATTGTTGTTGTTTGTGTGAGAACAAATCCTTATGTAGCTTTATGCTCAATAGAATGTATATAATGAACTTATGTCCTTAGCCCTTATTTATATAATATTAATATGTGACAGAGACTAAGTCAAACCTCCTAGTACATTAATTTACCTTGAGTACAATGACATCCTCTTGAGTACAATTATAATCTGTTCTTTGAGTAACAAGTGCAGTAGTGTGTGTTGTAAATGACTTAGTTATTGAGTACGTGATTTAACAACTGTTGTGATTGAGTGCGTAATTTAACAGGACTTGTTATTGAGTGCGTGATTTAACAACAGTTGTGATTGAGTGCGTAATTTAACAGGACTTGTTATTGAGTCATTGATTTAACAACTGTTGTGATTGAGGATGTAATTTAACAGGACTTGTTGATGCAGTGATTTAACAACTGTTGTGATTGACTGTGTTGTAACCAAATGCTATTAATCTACAGCATTATAACTATGATATGTTGTGACAAATGCTGCAATTGATTCTACACCATAACAAGCATAACAACAACAATTCTCCCACAAACAACAACAATTCTCCTAAACAACAACAATTCTCACAAACAACAACAGTCTCTCCACAAACACTTCTCACACACAAACAACAACAATTCTCACCCAAACAACAACAATTCTCCACAACAACAATAATTCACCCAAAACAACAATTCTCCCAAGCAAAACAATTCTCCACAAACAACAACAATTCTCCCACAAACAACAACAATTCTCCCAAACAACAACAATTCTCCCCTATCTTCCAGTGTATGGATTTTTGGATTCCATAGCAGCTTCATGAAACCCTCTAACCCGTCTCGAGAAATGCCTTAGAAGAGCCTGCAGAACGGAATCGGCAAATCAACAAATCCATCAACAACCTGGACTCGAGGTTGGATAAACAGAGATTCCTCGAGTTCAACAACGGCTTTATGCTCGAAAATTTGAGTTCAGGGGCACAAAGGAGATGAGGTGAGAGGAAAATTGGGATCTGGTTTGAAGCGTTAGTGGTTTTTAGGTTCGAGGATGTTTTTGATGGGGGTTGACGGTGTGGTGTTTTTTGGATTAGAATTATGTTTTTTCGATGGGGTTGACGGTGTGGTGTTTTTTTATGTGTTACCTCGAGGTTTACCCATCAACCTTCCTGAGTGGTTGTTTGAGAATTAATTATGCTAAGTATGCACTCTAGATTAGTCTGCCTCAAGTGTACCTGAATTCCCCTCCTCCCCTCCCTCCTCTAAAACTATCTCAAAATGTCTAATCAGGTCATCCATAAAGGTCAAAATAACAAATATTCTCAATCATAAATTCACTTTGACGACATAACAAATAAATAATAAATCCTCGTAACAAATAATTTAAAACATTTGAATAAAAATAAATAATTTACCTCACAAACTTTGACAATTTCATTTTTAATTAACTAACTATATAATAAAAAATTTCTCAAAGTAATTTATTAAATTAAAAAAATCAATTATTAATTTATGTGTTTAATTCATTTATATTGCAATTTATATATATCGTTGCAACATGTGAATTGAACCCCTTGTATATGCTTGCAACACTGGATTCAGCCTTGTATACGCTGCAACATGTGGATTCGAACCCCTTGTTCTTATGCTGCAACATGTGGTTGAACCTTGTTCTTATCTGCAACATGTGGTTCCAGAACCCTTGTTCTTATGCTGCAACATGTGGATTCAGACACCTTGTTCTTATGCTGCAACATGTGGATTCAGACCCCTTGTTCATATGCTGCAACATGTGGATTCAGACCCCTTGTACTTATGTTGCAACATGTGGTTCAGACCCCTTGTTCATATGCTGCAACATGTGGATTCAGACCCCTTGTACTTATGCTTGCAGCATGTGGATTCGAACCTCTTGTGTACGATCTTGGGATTCTAATGCTTTTTTTGGGATTAAATCATGGAATTTATTGAGTTTCATTCATCTATACTTGGTTTAATATGTCTATAATTACTGTTTCTATAACTACTGCCTCTGTGTACTGTCTCTGTAGCTACTGTCTATAACTACTGCCTCATGTGTACTGTCTCTGTAGCTGTCTTTAACTACTGCCTCTGTGTACTGTCTCTGTAGCAACTGTCTATAACTACTGTCTCTGTAGCTCTCTGTCTATAACTACACCTCTGTGTACTGTCTATAGCTAATGTCTGTCTCTCCTCATCCTTCCATACTATATTTTATTCTGTCTCTATAACTTCTGTCTATGTACTTCCTCTACTGTGCTGTCTGGAGCTACTGCCTCTCATGCCACTTACCATTTCCTCAGTGGTTCAAGTTTATTTCGGTAATTCTTTTAATTTTAATTATTATTATTATTATCATCACTTTTCAATGGCTACTTTCCAAACTTGCTTATGTCACCTCTGATTGCCTGACAGCTTAGTACAACCTTTCGACCAATCAGTCAATCAGAGTACGTCCCCTATATCTGAGGTTGTGACCACAGTCCTCAATCTAAAAAGTTCTCGGGCTGTTTTTATCAATCTAAGAATTTGTTTGTCTCTTGGGAGTCCATTTTAATTTCATTCATCCATCTAGTTTCTGTTTCATGGCCCTTCTATTATGGCCTTCCCTACCATGGCCATCTCCCTGCCATCCTAACCTCACTTTTACCCTTTATTGTTTGTTGTTATTCCTCATTCCTAATTATATGACCAAAGTATCTCATATTTTTATTTGTATTTCAAGTATTTTCTCTCTGAATTTTGTTTTACGAAGTTACCCCCAAAAGTTCCTCTCTCTCTCTGTGCTCAACCACGAACCCAAAGATTCAGACTGTGAACCGAATCCTTTATGGCCAGAACATTGCATCGGTTTACTGCTCTGGGTTCCAATCTGAATCTCGGAACTCGATAATCGAATCGGGGTATTGAATCCGAATCCGGGGTTGTTTTAAGCATCGAGCAGCAGGTTTTTTTACCCGTGACTCACAATATTTACCTACTCGTTCTATGGACTAGTATGTGGCGGCACATGTCTTACCCCAGTGCCAGACTCAAGACTCCAACACAGTACAGGGTGAACCAGGTGGTGAGTAATCGTCAAGTCCAGGAGATGGAAAAACAATTCGCCCATCTGGTCTCGGCTCACCAGCCTCAAGACAGTGGGAGGAGACTTGAAGACCATAGAGACGCAGAAGACCCTAATGGAGATGATCAATCAGAGGACTCGACTATGTGAAATTATTTCATCGACGGGCGCGGATGGATAACGGCCCGAGTCGATGCTTATCAAGATGAAAGCCGACAGACGAGCATTTCTACCTGAGTGTGAGTTTGGAGTCTTGTTCGGGGTTGAAAGTTAGGATTTTCTTCAAGTTTGAAAGTTTTGAAGATTTTTATTCAGCATTTAGAAAGTTTGAAGAATTTGTTGACGTTAGGGTTTTGATGATTTTGTAAAGCATTTAGAAAGTTTTAAAAATTGTTGATGTTTTCAAAGTTTTTAAAGATTTGTTGATGATTTAGAAAGTTTTAAGATTTGTTGACAATTTAAGTTTATATAGATTTTTAATGCCATTTAGAAAGTTTTTAATATTTTGTTCATCATTTAGAAATCTGAGAACTTTCCTTAGTGTACCGAGTCAGTTCATCATTTAAATCTAGAGATTTGCATTACAGTATCGACTCGTTCTTAACACTAATAAATCGACCTAAACTAAAACACATTTCAGAAATTCACGTAGTACACCGGCAGCAACCTCATCACCACATCAAGCCATTACACGATCGTAAGCCCTCGGCGAAGACACAGACCCACGCCTCCCCTCGCAAGGTACTGTCTACGGATGTTGTTGATGAAGATGTGTAAATCCCACGTTTATGTGAGAGGAGCTTACTATGTCAGTTGATCGGATACTTGGTATATTAGATGTGGATAAACCCCCCTCTCTCTCTCTCTATCCCATTATTTGCTCTGCCAACAATATTAGATGTCAAGATACCAATCTCTTCTTCCTACCCCCCTCTCTCTCTCTCTATCCATTTATTTGTAAACTCCGCTATCACCACAGAAACTTGTAAACAAACCTACAAATCAGCCGACGGGAAACCTCCGATGCACAAACCCTAAGCTGTTAGAATTGGTCGCCGAGGTACCTTCAAGCCACTGGTCAAGATATACACCTATTATGAGTCCTACATTAGCTCATCAACTGTATGGTAAGAAGTGATGCTGTCAGGGGGAGGTGTGTGTGTGTGAAAAATATATGTGTGTATGTAGGTATGTATGTATTAAATATATATATATATCCATGTATGCAAAGTGCCTAAAGGTATGTATGTATAAAAAATGATAAATCTAAGTGTATACATATTCCTACCACCATGAACTACACTGATCAGAAGAGAATCCCGCGCCTAAACGTCTGATAACTATACATTTCCCCTCCCAGTATCACACCAAGGATCTTCAGGTGTGGGTTGGTGGAAACAACAACTCAGGTAGCTAGAGATGGAGATCTACTGACTTTTACTGACGCCTCTGACATCAACAGTGTACGAGTGCTGGACCTCTACATGAGAACAGAGAACCTCTCTTCCACATCTTCTAAACCAGTTTGTAGATTGCCCGTGGTCGTTGTGTAGCGAGGTGTATTTTTTTGACTACTATTGATTTAAGTTTTGCTGTTTTTTAAAAATTAAACACATAAATTAGATTCCGACGATTTCATTTGTGGTGTTATCATATGTTTTGATATACGCATTGATTTACGATTGCTGTTTTGAATTACTTCACGACCGTTACGTTAGTTTGTTAAGTAATTGTTATCACGTGCCTCATATACTCCCCAATTGATTTGCGGATTTTGCTGTTTTTTGAAATTAAACTCACCTAAATTAGTTCGCTGATTCGACCAAGTGGTGTTACCATGTCTTTCATTTACGATCTGATTGACGTGATTTATAGAATAAAACCACGTAAATGGTTTTATGAGTTGCATTTTGATCTGTTGTATATATGTGAGTTCCTTGATTTACACAATTGATTTACGAATGAGACTCCATCGTAAACGGTTAGAAGTATAGATATCATGAGTTCATAAAGATTTCGCCCAACCTGTAATGACTCAGACTCTCCCCCACCTCACAGCCTAGAAAACCCACCTTGGTAAGATGAGGGACGTGGTGACTTAACTTCCCTCAGACCTGTTACGCCGTCATCGCACCTCTTTGCCTTCCCAACCAGTAGTAAAACAAACCAAGTCAGGGTTGTAGCGAACTTAATAAACCCCAGTACATTAGGTCACTCTAAGGATGCATTGTAACCCAGTAAACAAAGCTACATTGAAATTTACTTCATTGTAACCTTAATTAACAAAGGTGCTATAGTACACTAGTTATGCATTGTAACCTTAACAACAGAAAGGTACATTGAGTAAACTCGCCCCGAAATTCATCTTTAACGAGGATGTCGATGAATTTCAAAATAAACACTATACCTATTTCACACAGGGTTACAAAACCTTCACCAATTGTCATGTGAAACATAAAATCCAAGAACAATTTTAAACAATTAGAATCTCTTTAAGGGTGAAAAAAATAACTAAAAAAATAACTGAATTTATGTAAATTATAAATTGGTAATAAAACTGAGTTAAAAGATATAATTTAAGTTTATTTTATTACAGGTAGTTATTCAGAAGTTTAGTGTCTTGTGTATAATTTATTGCGTTGATAAAATGTAAGTAAGTTTTATTTATAGTTGTTGCCATGCCACTTGGCCACTTAATATTTGTATTTAGGTTAGTTTAATTTATCGTCTGTTTCTTATATCTCTTGGCCACACTTACATGCATTGTGATAAGTGTTATTGTTTCATGTTAAGATTTACTTGAAATTCTCTTTTGTTTGGTATTTAATGGCCACGGTATTACTTCATTATATATATTACTTGAGGCCTTAAGTTAGATAATAAATGAATGATCCATCATTTTACTTCTAAATATTTGTCTTTTGAAATTGGCATGTCTGGCAACAAGTCATTGTTTATCCTTACAAATATTAAAAACAGTTGGTGTGTATAAATGTTATTATTACTTCACTTAAACATAGAGCTTATTATTTATACTTACTGTCATTTTTACTCTCTCTTTGGGTACTTTGTGGTACATCTTTATTGACTATCTCTAACGAGGTTTGAATTCT